TTTAATTCCTGCGCTTGGCATTGGGCTTTCCTTGTAATCAGTTTCAATTTGTGCAATCATTAACCCTCCACTTTATTGGGCCGGTTTAGGTTGCTTTCTTTTGGCTGCCCAATTTGGATGAAGTAGAAAAATGGTGAGAAAGTTGAAAATGAAGTCGAAGAAAAAATGAAGAATTTTGGTAACTTAACGTTGGTAAGANAACTGAGAAGATGCACAATCCCGAACGTTTACGACAACCAGCCATGTCACTCAATGTCTCTAACCATTGATTACAATGACCTCGAGGTCCTCATCCAGGGACCCCAATGTGACCTACATGATCAAGTCCCTTGGTCACGGTTTTCATATCTTACTGCAAGGTTTTAGTTTGACAACCTTTGTCTTTTTTCCACCCACCTGCTGCCTCGGCAAAAATCGCGCGCTGTGGCAACTTATTTGGTGACATGCCTAACACTCACATCAGCCAACGCAGTCCATGAAAGGCGACCACTTATTCCGGTGGGCGACTGTAATCACCTAACTCTGCACCTAACCTCAGCATTGCTTGTCCAGTCCCCCCAGCAGGTTCGTGCAACGCTGCGTAGACAGCGGTTTTCGAACACCGACATCTATCTTTATCCTGTTTTCTTAACGAATGAGTTTCTGCGTCCTATAGTAGCACCTTTCGAACTTCTGCAGCATACACTCGACTTTATTCTTCCGTGTACCACGTTTGTATGTTTTGCAACGAAACTTGAAGTCTGATCTCTGAAGCAGTAGAGGATCATTTGTGTCTGCCTTGTGTTTTCCCCTGAAATCGGTCGAACAAGTTCGTAATCACGAGCGACATTATTCTCTTCCATAGTTTCTTTAAACACCTAACACAATTGACAACCTCGTTAGAGTAGTCTAACACTCATTCACTTTTGTAGTACTCAGGGAGCAGTACATTCAAGTTTTACTCTTGTTAGAGCTCATTGGTAGTAGTGCATGTCCGCTAACCCTCGTGGGACTTTTGCTCCTGACCCTTCACATGTAAGGTACGTGTTTTTTCCCTGTGACGGCTGGCTCACCCCGTGGCTGACTAGATTCGCGTTTATCTAGATGTCCTCTTCAATGACAGTCTTGCTTAATAATAGTAGGTTTGTCTAAACCTGAATATAAGATCTGTTTTGGTGGGTGGCATCCGAATGTAGTCAGCAGATAGTCAACAATCTCCTTCGGTCTCTGTTAGACTCAGTGTACCAAGACAATATTTGAATAAACTGGAATCTGTATTACTGGGCAGTTCCGATGTCATATTGGTAATGAATAAACCTTCCATGACAGGGGTGTGGAGTTCGAATTCCGGACGGATCAGTGAATATAACCTACAAATCAGTCAGTCAGTCAGTAAGTACAGCATATTTGTGGATTCAAATTTACAAAATCATTACACGAAACTGAAAGCAATGAGGTGTTTGTCAATGAAGCAGGCGGTTGCGCAATTCTGTTGAAATTTTGTCCTTGTCTGTAAGTAGACGTGCTAGATATGGCAGAACAGAATTTGCGATAAGCAGAGGTACGTGCAAATAAAAGTTTAAATCTTGAGCGTGTGGATGATGTAGATACAGCTTTTGAAAATTCATTGTGTGATGGGTGGCGAGTGTCTGAGATTATTTGGGCAACGAAATTTTCATATGCTTGTAGGTATCTGCCAATGATAGAATCGGCCAGTTTATCCCTGACAATGCCACTACATTTAGAGATGTGTTTCAGAGATCTCGCCAGTAAATAAAAGTCTTTCTTCAAAGTACCGGGAAAAATTACTGGAGAGCAATACAACCAGTGGGGTAGCACGCATGCATTCACAAACCTAACAATCAGTTTATGGGGAACAGAAAGTAATCTCAATCGGAATGAGAAATATGAAGCTTTATAACTTTACAGAATGCGTTTTGAACGTGCAGTGACCATGATAAATTGTGTGATAGGATGACGCCAAGGTATTTCACTATTTTTAATTTCGGTAGGGGTTGTTGATTTGCAGAGAGAGTGGGGAACCTATCTGTAAGGGCTGAATATGGTACATCGGCCAAGAAGGAAAACACAACATTCTGACATTTAGGGGCGTTCAATGAGAGGGAACGGGACAAGGACCAAGTGATAACGTCATTCAGCTTGCTTTGAACTTCGGAAGCCTCTTCAGGGGTGAATGCTTTGCAACCTATAACAACGTCATCAGCGTATTTACAGCCAATGGATGCAGGAGGAATGGGAAATTGTTTGCCATATATAGAAAAGAAAAATGGAGAAAATATTGCATCTTGCGGGACACCAGAAGAAACTGGGCGAGTGGAGGACTTTTTGCCGTTGAGACATGTAAACTGCATTCTATCTGTGAAATAATCACAGATCAATCTGCTAACGTTTGAATTTACCCCACTTTCAGTAATCAGGTTGAGCAATA